TGAAGGCTCGAAACAACGAATGACAACACACAAAACAAAAACACAAAAATAAAGGGTTATAATTAATGACTAAATAAAAAAGACAACTCGCTTGATGAGGTGGGAGTGCGGTGAGGGGAGGCTGGATTGGCGGCTGCGGTGAAGGCTGGAGAGGTGGGGACTGCTATGGAAGAAGTAGGGGAACAGTTGGCTGTAGTAACAACGTTGAACCGCAATTGTAGAGAAGTTGGAATGTCGTTGGAGGCTGGATCTGCGGCTGTGGTGAAGACCGAAGAGGTTGGAGCTGCTGTTGAAGAAGTTTGAGAACAGCTGAGAAGGTTCGCCATCGCTTTTGGAGGGTGAACAACAAGCGGGGAAGCACTGATAGTTGTTATAGTTGTGCCAACAGGTTGTCGGGAAGGGTCTGAAAGGGCTGGATACCAAGTTGTGGGGTTGCGGTGGCTGGACGGTAGTAGGAAGGCAGCTGACAGGGGAAGAGGGGGGGGGGGGTGTGCAGTGGCTGCCGGCAATGGAAGAGGAGGCTTATGGATTCTGAAATGGCAGTATGGAAACATAATTATGGTAAGATAAATACCTTGTTATGGTCGAGCTACAGTCAGAACACCACTCAGACCCTTTATGACGATTATCACCTCAGACGAGGGACAGCCGGAGCACTATCTCGACGTCAGATACAACCCACCCTCAAAGATAAAATACCAAGGGTATAACCTGAATTCAGATACAAAAAACAAGACCCCTAAATCTAGACATATTAACTCCTATTTATAAAAGAATTGACCCAATTTAGGAAACATTTAAACTAAGAAAGGAGAATGAAAATTAAATCAAGATCTCAGATTTTTAGAAATGTTTAAATTATGGAAGGAGAATAAAATCAGGATTTATGCTTTTAGGAAAAGATTTAAATTAGAAAAGGTCTAGGAAGGAAAATAGGAAGAGGAAGAAATGAAAGAGAAAAGAAGGGAGAAAAAAAAGGAACAGAAAGAGTAGGATGGAGGGGGCGGCGGGGCTTCTCCAAGAGGATCGAGCTGTCCAGCTGAGTTGGACCTGCGCCTAGCCGGTCCCCCATGAGCCTTGCACCAGTCTCCCGGGGTCGGGGGATCTTCGACCTCAATAGTCGAAGCTTTTTGATCCTCAAAGTACAACGGTAAATTCTTTGGTTGGTTGATCATGTTGGTGTAGTTATTGCACAATACATTTTGGTAGAATAAGTAGCCATCAACTTTTAGCACATCCCGCGTGGGAGCTGCATATGGAGGTGGGTTCCCGTAATGCAACTTTCGAGCCCTTACATTTGAAATCTTCTCCTTCCACTTTTCATGCTTAGCGTGCGGTGGTTGGGTAACAAGTATGCGAGGAGAACTCAATTCTAGGATGAAATCTATGACAAGCTGCACCACTCTCACTGCCACCCTCTCAGGAGAGACCTCTTCCCCATGAATAGGACCTGAATCTCATTATAGAATTTTCGTCCCCATTCCGGCCCACGACAAAGTTGGGGTTCTTCTCTACCGTCTGGACATCTAACATAGTGTCCCATGCTGACCTGAAAATAACCTCTGAATATCTCCATGTAGTTTTCTCAACATGGCACACAGTGACCTCATTTATGACATGTTGGACCTCCCTTTGTCGGGGCAACTTAGGAGAGGGCCTATACATCTGAAAAATTTGCATCTCGCTTATTCGGGGTGGATGCCGACTCCTCAAACTCATAACCCCTATAAACATCCAAGTTGATGTTTCTCTCACCGTCTACAAGATGCTAGCTTGAGGTACCATAATCTCAGGCTTTGCTGGGCTGTCTAATTACCTCAAAGTTACTACTTTCTAAACTAGCGTTTGTTACCTCAGGTGGAATCTAAAACAACTCCCCACTGGATTTTCTCTTCAATATCCATAAACCTCTATTGGAGGCGACAAAGTTCTCGCCACATCTCTTTTCGGGTAGGTTTGACCATATTTCTTCTTGGCAGCATATTTGACGGTTTTGAAATTTGTGGAAGGAAAGAAAAAATGAACAAAGAAAGAAGAGAAAAAAGAATGCATGAAAGAAAGAACATAAAAAATTTGGTGTGGTGGATTGGGTAAGGGCGGATGCTCCAAACCCTAAGATGAGACTAGGGTTGGACTAACTCTGATACTAATTGATATTAAAGTTAACCCAAACCACGATGCAAAACACAATCTTATTATTGACTTAGAACAGTGTTACAATGAAAACTAAAAATAACGAAAGACAACACACAAAACAAAAACACAAAACAAAGGAGTTGTAATGACTCAACAAAAAAAGACAACATGTTTGATGAAGAGGGAGTTCGGCTAGGGTAGGCTGAATTCGCGACTGCGGTGAAGGCCAGAGAGGTGGAGGCTTTTGTGGAAGAAGTAGGACAGTAGGTTGGCGATAGTAATGATTTCGAGTTGTAGTTGGAGAGAAGCAGGACATTGTTGGAGGCTGGATCAACGACTATGTTGAAGGCCGAAGAGGTGGGAGCTGCTGTTAAAGAAGTGGGACAGCAACCGGGAGGGCTCGCCAGCACCTTTCAAAGGATGGACAATGAGCGGGGAAGCATTGGCCGCAAGGAAGGCCCGAACAACAAGTTAGCTACTGTAATGATGCCAGTGGATTGCTGGTAGGGCTTAAAAGGCCGGACAACAAGTTGGAGGAGCTGCGGTGGTTGGATGGGAGTAGGAAGGTAGCTGGCAGTAATGGAAGAGAGGTTTATGGTGGCCGAATTCTGAAATGACAGCAAGGAAACATAAGTAGCAACAGGGAAACAAAAACATGATAAGATAAATGCTTTGTCGGGATCGAGCTACAGCCGGGGCACCATTCAGACCCTTGAAGGCGATCGCCACCTCGGACAAGTGATACTCAGAACACTATCTCAATGTCAGATATAACCCTTGAAGGGAAAATATCAAGGCTAAAACCTGAATTCAAATACGAAAAACAAGTCCCCTAACTCTATACACGTCAACTCTTATTTATAACAGAATTCACCCAATTTAGGAAACATTTAAACTAGGAAAGAAGAATAAAAATTAAATCAAGATTTCATATTTTAGGAAAGGTTTAAATTTAGGAAGGAGAATAAAATCAGGATTTAGGCTTTTAAGAAAAGATTTAAATTAAGAAAGGAAAATAAAATCAGGATTTAGGTTTTTAGGAAAGGATTTAAATTAGGAAAAGACCCATGAAGGAAAATAGGATGAGGAAGAAAGGAAAGAAAAAGGAAGGGAGAAAAAAAAGAATAGAAAGAGGAGGAAGGAGGGGGCGGTGGGGCCCCCTTCCAAGAGGACCGGCCGGTCCAGCTGTGCTGGACCTGAGCCTATCGAGTCCCCCGTGAGCTCCGCATCAGTGTAGCTAATAATTTTTTTTAATAGAGACACAAATAAATAAAGTTTAAACTAATCACAATTTTTAAAATCCAGATTTAGGATTGATATAAATGATTTTATTTTATTTTTTAAATTTAATATAAAATTGATAAAAGTATACTAACAATAAATATAAAAAGAGAATGTTACTTGAAATAATATTGTAATCATTTTATTATTAATACTATAATAATTTTATTAGATTTTAACTTATAGATTATTTAATATTCTTAAACCCAATATGTTTAAGATTTATGATTATACTTATATGCATATGCTATACATATTTTTTATTATAACACTATTTAATAATCATATGTTATAAATTGTATAATCAATATAAATTATTTATGATATTAATGTTGTAACGCACTAAATAAAGTCGAGTTAAAAACCTAATATAAATTATAATTAAAAAATATTCTAATTTAAATAAAACATGATAAAAAATACTTTAAAATTAAATTAATTTTATATTATCAATTATAAACTTATAAAAATAAATTAAAATCCAAAGAAAAATAATTTCATTTAAAGTTCAAGAAACTCATTAAGATGCTTGATTAAAGTTTGATATCGACTTAAAACTTAACATAAATTGTAAGTAACCTGTAATTTAATCTAAATAAAATAAGATTAAAAATTAATTTAAAAATTAAATACATTTTCTATTGTTAACATAAAAATAATTACATTCACTTGAATTTCTCAAGAAAATATTCATTTTTATTTAACACCTACTTTGAAAGAAAGCAAAACAAAAGCATAAAAAAATAAAAATATAAAAATATTGAGCTACCCAGTTTGTCATGCCTATTATTTTTGATGATTACATACATTCCACTCAATTCCTATGTATTTACTTATCTGAAACTCAAACTTAAGTTTTAACATATATGTTATCTTAACTATGCATGAAACTTGTGTTTTACTTTTTTTTTTAAAATTAAAATAGTGGTATTTCTGATGAGATATGAAAGCAAATATAAAAAGATAGAGTTTAGGTGTCAGATATTTAAATACATAGGAATTGGGTGGTATGTATGTTAATGTCCTTATTAAACTTGAGGAAGATCTACATACATATCACTCAATTCTTTTGTATTTACATACTTAAAACCTAAAACTTCAATTTTTACATGCATGCCACCTTCCTTATGTACAAAAAGGTGCATATCATTTTTTAAAAGTTAAATGGTGATATTTTTGACGTCATATGAAAGATTTGTTTGGTATAAATATAAAAATTAAAAATTTAGGTGATAAATTTGTAAATGCATAAGAATTGGGTGGTATGCATATAAATACCCCAAAACTTTAATTTGAAGCTTTTAGGCGTTTAACTGCACTCTTTTGTCCACATAGGAACAAATGAATTATTAGTTTTCTAACGTTGCATGCTAAAACTGATATTATTTTGTCGGATTTATGTCATTAAGTGGTTTTATGAAAGTAAAGATCAAACTATTGCATGCTAAGACTGATATTATTTTCATGCAATTAGTGCATTGGCATAAGCTTAATTCTTTATTAAACACTTTCATTACAACAATTGCAAATTTTAATGTTGTTCTATTTTCTTCTATTGATGTATCTCTGAACTTATTCTGTAGGGTAAAGGGCCTAAACGTGTTGGAGCATTGTATGTGACTTGCCAATTATTTAAAGTATACTTCAAGGTTGGCTCTAGTTTGCTGTCTATTCATTTATTCTCTAAAATAATTTCTAGGTAGATTTGCATACATACCATTCAATTCTTATATATTTACATATCTACAAACCTAAACTTTAAATCTTTACATACATAGGATACCATTTTACCTCTACATGAAAAGGTGTGTTTCACCTCTTAAAAGTTAAAATGGTTGTATTTTTGAGATGATATGAAAGCTTTGGGTGGTGTAAATATAAAAAAAGTTAAGTTTAGGTGTCAGATATATAAATACATAGGAATTGGGTGGTATGTATGTAAATGCTCCTAATTTCTAACGTTGCTTTCAATGCAGTTGTAGGATTTTGGAAACTTATTTTGGGTTAGAATAAGTAATTTGTTGCATCCTTTTAAATCACGGTTTTAATATTTTAATTTTTGCAGCTAGGTACTGTGCATCTCTGCAGAAGCGTTATTAGAAGCATTGAAACTGCTAAAATCTTTGATTTTGAAGAGTTCCCTTCAAGTGATAAGGTCTGAGCAATTTCTCTAACAACATGCTATATAGCTAAGAATTGGGGAGACTTTGGGGAATTTACATGCATTCCACGCAATTCTTTTGTATTTACATATCTAGCACCTAAAATTTCATGCATGCATATAATCACATCAAAACATGCATGAATAAAGCATATTTTAGTTTTTAGAAGTTAGTATTAGTGATATCTTTTATGAAAACGTGAAAAACATCAATGTTGTATGAGTATATATTAAAGCTTAGATGTCAGATATGTAAATACATAAGAATTGTGTGGTTTGTATTGCAAAATCCCACCAAAAATTTAAATTCTCATAACCTCTTCTACTTTGCTGAAATTCCACAACAGGCCACCTACAGATATTATACTGGTCGCTTGGAAGTTTATAATGAGAACTTCGTTGCTGTAAGTAGTATCTCTCTGCTGTTTTGTTGAACAATACTTCTATCACTATTACTTGCTATTTTTATTTTCATTTGAATGAGCACTTCTTAACTCAACTGTATTCTGACTAAATTGGTAACCCTAAACTTTATTGTTATTATTATTATTATTATTATTATTTTTATTTTCTTAAGAAAAATTTATGGGCGTACGTCATCTGTTATGTAAAGAAAGATAATTTTTTTTCTATTTTCTGCTAGAATAGGCTGATCAAAAACTAACCTATGCTTTGATGCATTGTAACTCTCGGTATGAAGCTAATTTGAGGTAATTTTATAAATCTATTTTGTTTTTGAAAGACATACATGCATACCACTCAATTCTTATGTATTGAAAGATCAAGCATCTATACTTATATTTTTACATCTATGCCAACTTACCTATGCATGAGAAGGTGTATTTCAGTTTTCAAATGTTAAAATAATGGTATTTTTTTATGTGATATGAAAGATTATGAAAGATTTGGGCATGAAAGATTTGGGCGGTATAAATGTAAAAATCAAAGTTTAGGTGTTAGATATGTAAATATATGAGAATTGGGTTGTATGTATGTTGATATGTAAATATATAAGAATTGGGTAGTATGTATGTAAATGACCCTTTATTTATTATTCCTCTAATTCTTTCTGATCATTGTGAACAGAATGATTCTGAAGTATCTCATACCCGTAAAGCTTTCTATAGGAGTTTTGCCAAAGATGTCGCTTTTGGAGAAGTATAATCTTACCGAGGTTTGGCCTTTTTTTTGTTACATTTTAGCATATGATATGTCATGCATTTGGCCTTGAAGGAGACACACACAGAGAGAGAGAGAGAGAGAGAGAGAGAGAGAGAGAGAGAGAGAGAGTAGGCGTCTCCCTTACAAGCTCAATTTGATTGTCATTGAATTCAAATGGATGTAGCGTAGACCAATATAACTAGGATTTTTTGAAACCCCATAATAATTAAGCCACTTATTATTTTAATCGCACAATTTGAACAATAGAAGCTTTTCTCTTATGTTACTATGCTATTAAGTATAATAGATTTATGATATTCAAACCTATCACACTTAGGCATCATTTGATCTCACACAATATTAATTCAATTATTGTGTTTGTTTCTGTCCGCATGTGTGTGTTATACATACATGCCGCACAATTCCTTTGTATTTAAATGTCTAACACGTAAAGTTTGATATTTATATTTATAACACTTTACTGTCATTACCCTATGCATGCCAAGGCGTGCTTAACTTTTAAAAAGGTTAGTGGTAGCGATATTTTTTATGTGATATCAGAAATTAGAGTGTTATAAATTTAAATATAAAAGTTTTATGTGTAGATATGTAAATCTATAAGAATTGTGTGGTTTATATGTAGTCATTCCATTTAAACCTCGGTAAAACTCTGTTATGAGAGTGTGAAACATGATGTACTTTGTGCAACGATCAGCCGGAATTATGTGTCATCTTAACCTAATTTCTCACTCCATAATACATATTTATTCATCATAATACTGCTATTATTTATTTATTTATTTTTTGCAGTATACCGGTGTTGTGAAAGCTTTAAGAAGCGGCGATCTGCGACTCCTGAGGCGAGCTCTCCATGAGCATGAAGATCAGTATGTGCATTCTCAACTCGAGAGATCTAAATCGGAAGATAAATAGATTGTCACATATAAATATTTATACTTTCTATCAGGTTTTTAAGGACAGGCGTTTACCTTGTTCTTGAGAAACTGGAGCTCCAGGTTTATCAGAGATTAGTCAAGAAGATGTATGTCTTCCTCTGTTTTATTCATATAAACTCAATATTCACAAATTTGCTAACTCCGGGGATTATTTTTTGGGGAAAATTTACATATATACCACACAACTCTTATATATCCAACTCTTAAATTTTGATTTTTATATTTATACCAGCTAGAAAAGTTGTATTTCACATAGCAGCATTTTTTATTTGACATGAATAATTCAATTATTATGAGTGCAAAAATTCAAAATGTAGGTGTTGGTTATGTAAATGCATAAGAATTGTTTGGTATTTATGTAAATGCCCTCAAAATTTTTTTTTTTTGGGAACTCTTCTCAGCTATAATATTCAGAAACAAAAGGATGCTAGCAAGGCTCATCAGATCAAGTTAGAAGTGATAGTCAAAGCATTGAAGTGGCTTGAAGTAGACATGGATGTTGATGAAGTAATTCTCCATTATGTAAATAATTCCTTGCATTTTCAACCTTTTTTTTTCGGCAGCAATTGCATATTGTGTTTGATATGGAGCAAAAGAGATGCAAAGTCCAATTTTGGGGGATTTGTAGTGCCTAGAAACCTTTGCTTTTCCTGTATTTGAAAATCACCCAAATTGCATAACAAAACTCTTGCTTTTAAAATTAAATGCATTTCAATTACTCTTATTTTTATCTAAAATGGTTATTTTTGTAAAAAAATAAACTCATCAGCCTCTTTGATCATATATGTTGTTTAATTTATGTTGTTTAATTCAGGTGGAGTGTATTATGGCAATTCTCATATACAAGAATCTGATGAAGGGATACTTTGCCCACAAGAGCAAGGTGGTTGTCCTCAGTAAGCAAGACCCCTTCCCAAAATTGAACGGCAAGCCTATTAGTTCTTAAAAGCTAATATTTACTCTGTTTTGTAGCTTGAGTTGTATATAGGGGTGTGGTGTAAAGGAGCCGAACACGAGCGAGCCCAAACTCAGCTCGTGTTCGATTTGTTCATATTTCGTGCTAAAAAAGTGTGTTCGTGTTCGGCTCATTTTCTTAGCGAGTCAAACACGAGCCGTTCACGAACAAAGAGTCATTTTGACAACCCCAATTAGGTAGCCATAAGATGTTAATGATTGGAGCAAGATTTAAAACATCATTTGAATCTAAATTAATAATTTTTATCCTATTTTCTTCATTAATACTTTTAATTGATTATAAATCTTTGTAGCCTTGTAGTCAATCAATTTTTTTTTAAAATACTACTCATCAAAGATATATATATTATTGATTAGCAGTATTTCGAGCCAGAACAAGCTGAACACGAACGAACAAATATTTGTTTGTGTTGTTTGTGTTCGGCTCGTTAATTTAGCGAACGAGCCGAACACGAGCTGTTTGCGAACAACGAGCCGTTTTGACTGCCCTAGTTGTATATGATGCTTAAATAATATTTTTAATGTTCAATATTTTCTAGTGAAAAACTATGCCAAAAAAAATTTTGTTTGTACTTTTGCATTTTAGTTATTTGTAATATTTTTTAACCGTATAATAATTTATGTTTCTGATAAAAATGGTAATAGCAGTGCAGATGAGGGACTAAGAAGCCAAAAAGGTTAGAAAACTAGATTAGAATAAATGAATATTTACATACACCATTCAATTCCTATGTATTTACATATCTAGCACCTAAACTTCAATTTTATGTTTATGCCACCTTACATAGGCATGAAAAGGGTATTCCACCTTTTAAAATTTAAAATGATGGTATTTTTTTTTTATATATTAAAGTTTGATGGTATAAATGTAAAAAAAGAAAGTTTTGGTGTTATGTAAAGAAATACATAGGAATTGGGTGGTATTATGGCATTTATGTAAAAGCTCCTAGAATAAATTAGTTTGTAATTAGAACAAGCTTTTAATTATTTTGATGATATTTTGTTAGTGTTATTTTGTTGTTTTTGGATTTTTTGCATTAGATAAAATCAATATATTCTTGCATAAAAAATATAAATATGAGTTGATGCATACTCTCTTGTAACTATAGAGAATGTGTGCATGCAAAATGTTTTTTTATTTTCATGTATTACTTCTGATATTGATTAAAATTATTATTGTTTTTTTTTAATTAAGTAAATGAAATCAAATATTTATGCTCTCTATTATATAAGTAGAATAATATTGTGGTAATTTGAATATCATTAATTGGCATTGAGTGGGACAATTTTTTAAGTGATTTATTATTATTTTTTAAATAAGAACATGAAAGCTTTACATCCTAAATATATATATGTATGATATGAAAATTTTGTTATAAATGTAAAATTAAAGTTTAGGATTCAGACATGAATTGAATGATATTTATGTAAATGTCCTTAGAGCATTTATATGATTCAGGATTTCCAACCTTTTACAAGAATAAAACAATGTATCAAGGGTTATTGAGCTTTATAAGGTTTCTTAAATGAATTAAAAACCATCAATAATTATACATGTTAACTTGAATAACCATGAAAAACAAAAGGTAAAAAAAAAAATGTTTTTATATGATAATACTAAATATTTATTTATTAATAAACAGTTAATTTGAACGTTACAAGCAGCTCCCCAAAATGAGATTTCAAGATAACGCTAAGGGTTCGTTTGGGAGGGTGGGTTGGGTGCAGCGCGGTCATTTACCGCAGTTATTTGGTAAGGTTCGCTGTTTGGTTTGTAGATTCGCGGCACAGCTTCGACGAAGCTGGGAGAAAGTGGGCCACGAGATTAACCTCGCGGCCCCGCTTTCGCCCCGATACTTTTACCCTTTAGCCCGAGTTCTTTCGCTCTGGATTGGTATTATGGTATTCGTGATGTCATGATCCTAGCACATGAGTAATGTGATGATCTTTGAGGCTATAATGTGGCTGTGGGTAGTGAAATATTTATACATGTATACATATAGGTTTAAATTCCTTATTCAAAATTATATAATAGTTATATATATATATATATATATATATATATATA